TGTCCTCCCGCCTCCCTTGGCTGCACAGCCGCTGCTCTTGGCATGCGTGGGGAGCTGGACCGGGGAGGCAGCCGGGCACAAAACATTCCTGCAGAAAGGGAATGAAGGAGAGGATGGGACCATTCCCTTTGCTCTGTGATTAAATTGTGGTAAGCTGGACTGCAGCCTGAGTTTCGGGGAAGATGAATCTCCCATTCCTGGAAGTGTCCAAGGCCAGGTTGGAAAGGGCTTTGGAGCAAGCTGGGACAGTGGAAGGTGTCCCTGCCTTTGGCAGGGGGTGGGAACTATAGAGGGTCCTCAAGGTCCTTCCTGGCCAAAGCATTCAGTGGCTCTTTAGTCTCCAGCAGAGGAGTTGGAGCCCCAAGAGGAGTGCCAGGATATTTCACTTGCAGGTGAAGCTCCTGCAGGGATGGAAGTGGGAACCCAGGGATGCAAACACAAAGTGAAGTGAGGGAGTGAGCTTGCAGCACGTCTGCTGTTCTTCAGTAAATATCCATCTGTGTATTCTTGCTCCCCATTAATTGCAAGGTCAGTTATCCTTCCTCCAGTGAGGGTGATCTGTGTCCCTGTGCCTGAGTGACCTCACCTGAGAGTGATTCAGCTGCAGCAGCACCGTGAATTGTTACCCTGCACCACATTTGAGCCTCTCCACTTTGAACCCCTGCCACACTTGAAAGTTTTAACCCCTAGGTTCTGCTGTAAACTAAGTATTTCCTCAACCTGGGGTCTTTTGATCAGTTTTGGGGGTTTTATCTCTTGCCTTATCTGGAAAAGCACCGACCCCATCCGGCCTTCTGCCACTCTGCAGTTGTCATTTCAGACACTTCCCTGGCAGCTGCAAAGCTGATAGGAAGCAACAAAACTTCCAGTGTGGATTATCAGGAACACTACTGAGGCATTGCTTAATGCATCTGATATCTCAGCCTCGAGAACAGAAGGGGAAAAAAAAAAAGGAAAAAAAAAAGATTGGCAGCTATTGCAGGAATTCAGAGAGGGGCACCTTGGTAAAGAGCCGGGGGGAGGCTTCTCCTTCCATTACAGAGCCCTGGGCTGAGATGGATTCCCTCTCCATCATTGTCCTAAGCACATTATCCCTGAAAGAAAGAGGGTTTCTCTGAATCTGCAATTTTTCTAGGCTTCAGTGTTATTGAAATGAAACGGCTTCAAGGATATCTACATTCTTTACCATCATATGGATTCTCATCTCATGTAAATTATTTGGCCACTTTTCATTTTAATCCTCCACTGTCATTTTCTACAAAAGAGATCATTTGGTTTCTTCATGGAAGGTATTCAGCTGACAGCTGCCCTTTGTCTAGAAAGCAGTGTGCCTTTGCAGGAGTTACTTGTGCCTGCTCCTTCTCTTTTTTTCTTTCCTTTTAAGTTCATATTGCTTCATATTTTTCATCTGTAGCTTTCAGAGACTTTTCAGACTGTGAACAGGTTTGTGGGTGTGAAGGGAATTTTAGACATCCTGCATTCTTTCCCTGTGTACCTGGCTGATAAGAAACAGAACTGGAGGCAGAATAATTAATTTACTGCAAAAAGAACTGTAGTCCAAAAAAGTCAGAGTGTTTTCACAACTTCTGTATGAGAAAACAAAATAGTCAGTGATGAAGTCTTGAATTTTTTTCCATGGCTTCCCTGTCTTGAGAACTTAATTATTCTCATCTACTTTTCAGGAATCATATAACCACAGAGTCATTAGGGGTGCAAAAGAGCTTTAAGATCATCAGGTCCAACCATCAACCAGCGTTGTATTCATCACCAAGCCATGTCCCCAAGTGCCACATGGTGGGAAGTTTTAAATGTGTTTTGTGGCATGGTGTGTCATCCACAAGACCTTGATGGAATGGGGATGAAGTGTGATGTGTTGGTAGAGTTTATGCACAGGGAATTTGGAGGCTGAGGAGGAAAATCAGCAATTAGGGTTGGATATTTTGGGTTAGCTGGTGCTGTGAGACCTTTTCCTTTCAGGGTATGAGCTCTGATAAAGCAGCTTGCACTCCTTCAGACACTGAAAGCACCATGTGGTCCTGGAGAGGAACAGTATGGCCTCAAGAATGGAAGAATGGCCTTAAGCTGAAGTGGGGTGGATTTAGGTTGGATTTGGGGAACAAATTCTTCCCTGGGAGGGTGGCACAGGTTGCCCAGAAAAGCTTGGCTGCCCCTGGATCCTTGGAAGTGTCCAAGATTGGGTTGGAGCAGCTTGGGATAGTGGAAGGTGTCCCTGCCCATGGATGGATGTTGGAACTGAATTATCTTTAAGGTTCCTTCCACCCCACACCATCCCAGGATTCAGTTCTGAGGAGAAGATTCAGTTTTGGGGCGCTCAAGTTGAGGGCTGGCCAAGTTTATAGGGAGGTGGAATGTGTGGGGGAAGTCACATCTTTAATGAGGATAAGGAATAATCCAGCAGGGGGAAAAACAGGCAGGTTCTAAAATTATTGTCAACTGTAGAAACAGAGTTTTAACTGCTCCAGTACTTCTCCTTCCAGCTGGTACCCACTTAGCTTTGTGATCCCCACAAAAATTACCAGGACAGCTCTGTGACAACTCACTGAGATTTTTGATGCTTTTTCATAAATTGGAGATTTGGTATGAGAAGAATCTCACATTTTCTAGTGAGAATCACTTTTCTTGTAGACATTTTTAGACATTTTACATGAAAAGATCAGAAATTCCTGTTTGAATTTAAGGAAACGTTTCAGAATGATGAAAAATGTCAGGCAGATGAATTGTTTATAGCTTAGTTGTAAAATGTTTAGAGATAAGAATTACTGTTTCAGCAGTTTCTGAATCACAGAAATGATTGGAATACACAGAACTCCTTCATTTGCTAGAAGAGGTGTCTCATCCATTGTCCATTTCTGGAAGTTTGCTCCATCACAGGGAGATTTCATGTTATCACAGAGAACTGTAAGCATGGGTTGAAGTTTTATTGTTAGAAAATACTTTTTGTTATTTGTTGGAGGCAGCAGAAGCCTGGCTGAGGCTTGGCAGAGGGACAGTGTCAAGTTAGGTGACAAGAAAAGGGTCACTGGTGGCTCTGGTGTTGTCTTTGCTGCTTTAATTAGTGTCTCAGTTTCTTGCATCAACAAGAATAGGCAGTTCAAGGACACCCTGATTGATAATTTTAGGTATTTGTAGTATTTCTTCCATAAATGTTGATTTTTGTACACGTGGTGCTGACCTGGATTGCTGGTTGGGACTCCAGGGCAGGCAGTATGTTCATGTAAATAAGAGAGCAGCAGTTTTCAGCTGTGATCTCTTGATGCTCCTTTATCTCAGGGTGCTTAAAAGAGGAAATGATTCTTGGCTCTGGGCAGAGGGCAGTGCTCTGCAGGTGGGAGAGCTGAAATATTGTCATGGGGCTGTTGAACTGGGATCCTCAGCTTCTGCTTCCATCACTAACTACTGGAAAAAGCGTTTTCTGCTCTGTTTTCCGAGTTCTCCATTCCCCAGAAATGCATCTTTGTACAGAAAGCAACCCCTTTGAGCAGAAATTTGCAAGTTGAGATAGACACACACATCACTTCAAAGGCTGGAATCACAGAAAGGGGATGGACATTGGAGAGGGGAGAATACACTTTAAAAATTGCCACATCCAGAGGGCGTGATGTTCATTCTAAATTCTCATAAAGCTGAACAAAGACACCAATCCTGTGTCAGGGAGCTCCTCCTTTGATTCCTCAGTCACCTTAATTCCAGCAATTAAGTTCATTCTAATACTGGAAATGTTGGCTGACAAACTCCCAACTTTTCCAACACTTGAACCTAAGTTTGAGGCAGAGCTGCCCTTTATTTAGAGAAGATTGAGGCATTCCTGTGGTTCCATTTGCCCTCCTCCAGCAGATCACCTGGAAGTCCATGAATGGTGCAACTCTCTGAGCTGATGTGTGATTTCTCTTGCTCACTGAGCAGCAACTTTGAAATAGGGACCCCATTTTGGGCATGGCTGTGGCTGTAAATGACTCTGTGAACAGAGGGATTAAGGTAATGGCACCTAAAATTCAGCCTGAGCATTCAGAGTTTGGACAGAAACAATTCCTGTATGGAACAGAATCTGGATTTCCATAGAAAGTAGCTGGGGCAAATCCACTCAGTGAATAATGGAAAATAATAATTGCCTCAATATGCCTGAATCTCCTACTACCAATTGATCTACAGTTAAGGAAGTAAATATCTTATTTTCAAATCCAGAGCAGCTGTCCAACAGCCGGACCTGCTGCTTGATCAAAGTTGATAAAGGAAATCCTAGGATTATATATTATGGATAATCTACAGAAAAAACAGTGGTAGTCCCTGCTTGTGGTGTGATTAGCAGAGTCCATTGAAGTAAACAGGACATTTTGTTGGTTTAAATGCAGATCTGATAAGCTCTGCAGAATGTAAATCAGTTCATTAAAATTTGCAGAGCAGTTCAGTGAGGTAAAAGAAGAAACAGTTTTAACTTTTATAGGATGTTTACTGCATATAAAGTACAAAAAACCCCCACAAATATTCTGGATAAAATGCTGTTAGAAATGTGCTGTACTCAGTGTGTCGTTCTGAGGAACATTGAAAAATTTTAAATTGTGGTTTTAAAAAAATAATCTGACTGTAGAAATTGTTGGGTGTAATTTCACAGCATCTCCACACCATACCTGTCTCTGCACTATTTGTGGGGTTTTGCATAATATAGATGTTAAAAGTATGTGGATGTGTGTATGTTAACAAATACATATGAACAGGGATCAAAATAATTTGGGTGTCCTAGTAGAATATTCCAAATGCTGAGATAATGTTAATTTATCTGAGGGATTTGGGAAGTTTTCCTTTATTCCATGTGGACATAAGTGCAGGCTGATGTTACTTTATCCTTAAAAGTCAGTGTGTCTGGTACCTCTGGAGGAGTGATGCATCAATCAGCAGCTGACACCTTTTAGTGGAGCTGCTTTGGAACCTTCATGCTCTGATTTCTTAAGGAAAAAACCTGGGTTTTTTTTCCCCTGTTGCAGTTACTTCAATGAGAATCAATATCCCGACGAGGCAAAGAGAGAAGAAATTGCCAACGCCTGTAACGCAGTTATACAGAAACCAGGTGAGGAGCTGCTGGGGGGCCCTTCCCAAAAACAAAGAGGTTTCAGCACCTTGAGTTCTCAGACTGATGCTTGCAGAATCATTTGGGCTGCAAAAGACCTCCAAGGTCATCAGCCTTTGACTGATAAATGAGGTTTTTGGAGGAGGAAAGAGCTCAGCTCTCCTGTTTTTGGGTGTTTTACAGCTTCCAGACAGAGATCTGATATTAGAACCTGAGTGTTCATGTTGAATCTTATCTTTAGGTCAACAAGTTGGATTTTCCCTGTTTCTGGAGAAGTTAAACTTGGGAGAGGAGCATGAATATTCAGTGTAGTGTTAGTGGATGCACCTGCCTTTGCTTAGTTTTGCTAACCAAACATTTACTTTGATTTCAGAACTTGTGTTTTGGATATATTTAGATTTCATACAACCAGAAAAAAAAATTAATGAGAAGGCAACTAAGGCGTGAGTCATGCACATGGAATCACAAAATTATTTTGGATGGAAAAGCCTCTGGGATCATTGAGTCCACCCAATTGTCCCCAAGTGCCCCATCTGCAGGGCTTTTAAATCCCTCCAGGGATGGAGACTGCACCACTCCCTGGGCAGCTGTGCCTGGGCTGGACAGCCCTTTCCAGGCAGGAATTACTCCCAATATCCAACCTGAACCTCCCCTGGTGCAGCTTGAGGCCGTTTCCTCTTGTCCTGTCCCTGTTCCTTGGGAGAGAAGATGAATCCCCACCTTGTTATCCTTTCAGGGGGTTGTGGAGAGCTGGGACTGCACAGGATAGCACAGGGTCAGACCAGTTTAGAATGGAAGTGACCTCAGGGGTTCATCTGGTGAGGCAGGATCAGTTTAGGTGAGATTGTTCAGTTTTCAGTATCTCCAAAATCAGAGGTTTTCGCACCTCCAGGCCCCTGTTCCACAACGTTGAGCACTCTCACACCAAAGTACTTTTTCCCTAATACCTGCTGAAATTTTCCCTGAAAAATCCATCAGGAAGAGGACCAGAGAGCTGAGGATTTGATTCCTGGCTCTGCTGCTGGTTTGTGGAGCAACTTGGAACAAAGTGCTGCAGGGCCATGTCAGGGAGCAGTAAAATACTGCCAGTGGTGCTGATGCATTCAGCAGCAGCCAGGCTATCAATTTCCAGAGTTTTCTTTCTTTCACTTGTCTCATCTCTCCTAACTTATTTAAGTGTGCAGATTGCTGCAATTACATGTTGTTTTTTGGTTTTTTTGTATGCTGAATAAATAAACTTTGAGAAGGAGTCAGAAGCAGGGGGGCTCAACCCTGTGGGGCCTGCAGTGGTCTGAGGATGCAGATATGGAGAATATTTTGTCTAGGGTCAAGAGCAGCAGAAGAGGTTTCCAGAATGTCCTTGGAATACCGAATCCCTCCAGTCTTCCCTTACTTATACTGATGACCAGATAAAGGCATAGTTTTCTATAGCTGCCTTCTGGTTTTTGGGGATTTTTTTTTTGTTGGTTTAAGTGTAAAAATCCAGTGATCTGGTTTCCAGTATCCACCCCTGTTCTCCCAAAAGATCCTGAGTGTCCTGGCACAGCTGGGAGAGTGTGATGGGGCTGAGAGAAAGGAAAGCAGATTGCAAGGGTGACACAAAACCTCTTCATTCATTTTGCTGCTGTATAAAACCATGAACTGTACCCTGGTGACACAGAGTAAGAGGAGGAGCCCCAGGGGTGGGGGTTGTGGCAGGAATTGCAGTTTTTGGAATCTCAGATCTGTACTTGAACTGGAAAAGCAGCCCTTCATTCTCCCACAGCTCTGGATTGAGTTGGTTGAAGCTGTAAAGAAATCCCTGTATTTCAGATTTTTAAAAAGCAGAAGAGAAGAAGATGTGTGGCAGTTAGTGCTCAGCACCTGGACACAGGAATTTGATCCACATAAAGTTGACTTTTTTCTCAGTTACAGTAACTTGTCAGTGCTCTCTGTGTTTCAGGAGTTTATCCCATAGAATCCCAGAACTGTTTTCTCATCTGAAGTTACAATCCCAGGACAGGGTCAGGGAAAGGGACACCTTCCACTGTCCCAGGTTGCTCCAAGCATTGTCCAACCTGTTCTTGGACACTTCTCAGGGATGTGGCAGCCACAGCTTCTCTGGAACCCAGTAACACCACTGAAATACTACTTTTCCCTTCTGTTGCTTTCCTAGGTAAAAAGTTGTCGGATTTCTGTTGCTTTCCTAGGTAAAAAGTTGTCGGATTTGGAGCGAGTTACCTCCCTCAAAGTGTACAACTGGTTTGCCAACAGGAGGAAGGAGATCAAGAGAAGAGCCAATATCGGTAATGTATCACAGAGCCTGCCTGCAAGGCTTGGGGTTTGCTCAGGAGAGGTGGCAATTACGTAAGAATAAATTAGTGAAAACACCAGAGGTGCTGACAGCCTCAGGAGAAATGTGGAGGAATTATGAAAATGAGCCCCTCGCTGTTCCAGATTTTTTGTGAAATACGTATAATTTGTAGAATTCTGTCATCAGTGCTGGAAAAGTGGTGCAGTTACAAAGTTTTACTGGAAGATCAGCTTTAAAAAGCAAAATGAGAATTTCATAGGTGGAAGCAGAGTTGCATTTTCCCTCCTTTGAGTATCCAAACTCAAATCTGAAATGAAACAAAATTGTAAATAAAGGAGATAGAGATGTTGGCAGGATCACAAACTTAATGTGTTTATCCTGGTTATACCTCTGCCCCTGACATCTTTCCAAGGTTTTGCCCAAGGCCAAGTGGGTGGAAAAAAGCCATATTTTTTGTTGATGATCAGGAAAAAACAAAAGTCACTTCAGAGTTAACCCTGTGGGTTCTTAGCTGATAATAAGGAAATCAAAAGTGACTCTGAACTTGTAGAAAGGAGACTCTCTGGTGTGGGTAAGATATTCTAGGGAGAATAAATCACCTCAGTGGCCTGGATTCAACAAACTCCTGCCATTCATAAAAAATGTGATGCTCTTACTTAGATATGAAGAATTACTTTTGCAACACATGGGTGAACAGACATCCATATCTGCTTATTTCCAGTATTTTTAATTATTTCAAATGTTCCACTATTTTACCTTATTTCTAAATAAGAAAAAACCCTTCTTATTATATCATTTAACACATTGCTGAAGTTTAACTACATTTATTTTTCTACAAGTAAAAATGGCTTCTCAAAGGGATGGGGGAATAAAGCAAACTCAGTCCAAGGCGGGTGGAGTTTAGTGTTTGGGGAGGAGGTTTGGAAATAAATTAAAAAGAACCAAAGGGAGCTTTAGATGTATGGATTCTACTGGAAGCTGGATTTTTGTGTCTTCAAATCCCTGAAGTGCTTTCAGAAATTTCTCCCATCTATTTTCAGGCACTGCCCACCCCCTCGAGTCCTGGCCAGTCCAAACTATGGGGGAAGATTTACAGGGAATGCCTTTGGCACTCCAGTACCTTAGAAATTACACTGATTTCTGTTTAGGACTGCCTGGATAACAGGGATTTTTACTCACAGACAAGTTGGCAGGGAAGGATTTCAGGCAAACCAGTGTTTACACCTGTGTTGCCTTCCCAAATGTTGGAGAGTGAAGAGGAAGGGGCTAAGAACTAACCCTGTTCCTCCAGTTATTCTAACTTCCTGATAAAGGAAAAAAAAAAAAAAGCCCAGTTGCTTTAACTACTCCAATGCATCAGATAAATGAGGGATCCATTTGCTTTTTTCGAAGAAGCAGCAATCCTGGAGAGCCATGGAATAGATGTACAGAGTCCAGGAGGTCATTCCAACAGCGACGACGTGGACGGCAACGATTACTCGGAGCAGGTGAGCACCGGAGCCTCGTGGCCCAAACAGGGAGAGCTCAAACACCTTAAAAGGCCCTTTTACCTCTGGAAAATCCTGTTTTGTTTGGCTTTTGTGTCATTGTGATGGGGAAAGGGTGAGACTCCAGTATTCACCCACATGGATTTGTTGCCTCACAACAGGACACTTGGCAAGTCCGCAACGGGGAGGAGGAGGGACGATGTTCCGAGGGAGGCAGAGAAGCAGAGAAGGTAGAAGAAGACAGGAGGATCTGCTCCAAACAAGCAAGTTACACCCCTCACACCACACACAATGTCTGAGACACGGCAGGAGAGCCTCACCTCAGCCAGAGCCCTGCCATACTCACTCTCTCCTTCCCCACACTCTGAGTTCCCCTGCCTCAGGAAGGGATGGATAGGTCTTTCACAGTCCTGTGTGTCCCCAGAAATTGTCCCCGAAGAACTGGGCAGCTCTTGCACCTCTGATTTCTTTCAGCAAGAAAAGGCCAGGGCCACACCTGCAGACATGAGCAGGAGGGAGGGTCTCTGCCCAGGAGCCTTCAGAATTCCTTGTGCCAGCCTTTCCCAGCAGGATTCTGAGTGCCCTCCTGGAAGGTCCTGAGCTCCCTCTGTTCTGTGGGAGAACCTTTCAGGAGCTTCTTGGGATCATCCCTTAGACACTGACAGACAAAGGATGAAGGGTGGGGGGAAAGGATTTGATTGACTAAACTCTGACCTTTAATTGGCCTATTCCATATTATTCTGCAATAGTGTGCCACTACTTGGATTGTTTACATATTATCTGTCTTTTTTTCTTTGTTCATTTGTTTTTGTTTGTTTGTTTGCATTTTTATTCTTGCCTGTTCTCTCTTTTTCTTGGTTGTTTTTAACTCTTGACAGCAACTTCTTTTTTAAATTCTCTAGCTAAAGAATACCCCTTCCCGCACTCTGAGCCCTCACCTACCCTAAAGTTGGTGACCCTTCCTTCACACACCTTCCTGACAGGTATTGCATCCCTTCCCAATTCCCAATCCCAGTGTTGGCCAAACCCCCAGGGCCGTGTGTGCTTGGCACCAGTGACTCCACCAGTTCACTCAGCTGCTTTTGAGAGGAGATCTTTCTGTGCTGGATCACTTTCCACTGCCTGTTCTGGGAGAAGCTGGGAGTTCTCCCTCTCCAAAGGCTGCTGCTGGAGTGGAACAGCAGCTGAGTGGCCTGGAATGAGTCCCTGGCACACTTGGCTCTGGCCCAGTTCAGCAGGTCCCTGGCAGAGGCATCCCCAGCTGCTCTGCTCCTGATGGGGATTGAGACCCTTTTTATAGGGCAGCACCAGCAGATTTGGTGGGACCAACTTTTCTGGCTCTCAGTGATGAGAAACTGCTCTGTGACTGCTGTAAAATATTTAGGAACCACTGCCAAGCCCAGAAAATTCCCTGTCAGACAGATACAGGACCGGAATACTGAGGTGGAGTGTGATGTAGACTCCCAAACCACGTTTTTCTTCTGTGCATTAACCAGCATACTTCAAAAAGAGAAATAAATCGGTTATTAAAATTTAAAGATCTTTGTTTAGAGGCCTTAGAAATGACATTTCTCAGTAATCTGGGCTCCTCTACGAGGTGTAATTAGTCGTTAGCAGCAAAGCAGATTAAATGGCAGATTCTCCCAATGACCATTTAACATCCCTTAGCTGTTAAACCCAGAAACTGTGTTTTCTACAGCAACACTTAAACTCTAATAAATTTTAAAACACAAAGTTCATCTAAATACTAATGAAGTACCTAAACCCCCAGATTTTAGGGCACTTATTTGTGCCATGATAAAGATTTCTGAGAGGTCCTAAAATTTACCAGACCCTTGTTATAAATGAATGAATCCTTCTAAATAACCTCAGGATTTTACCAAAACCTGTTTTTTTGGGGTTTTTTTTGTTTTGTTTTTTGTTTTTTGTCCTCCTCAGCATTTGCCACCCATCATCTTCATTTAAAAATGCTTTATGCACATTTTTAATTTTAAATCACACAAGTTCATCACTTGAAGGCTGTTGGGAGACTGATAAATGTTTATCATTTGCTTTCTCTAAATGATAATGATTTAAAAATCCAGGATCACAGGGGGATAACTATGAGTGCCCTGTTTTAAAGAGGGGAAAGCACCAAGATTTTTCCCAAAATTCCTTACTTGATTTATGGTGGTTCCAGTACCCTTCAGTCACTGGTTTTCTTAGCATTCAAAGATTTTTCCAGCATCTTTTCCCCTATATCTGTGTGAATTTAATGTTTTCACAGGATGCTGACTTGGACCAAGGGTTGGGCTTGTGTCATGGTTCTGGTCAACAATTCCAGTTAAAGTACTTCTCTAATATATATAGAATTATTTCATTCTAATAGCTTCCAGCTTCTGGAAGTCAGTAGTTTTAAGTCTTCCTGAGTTTCCATGATTTCTAGCAGACTAATTTTCCCTGGATTTGTCAAACCCCTGCCTTTTAAAGCCATTTTTACTTTTGTCTGATGTAAAAATCAGTGAATCCTGAACTGAACTGTGCTAAGTGAGCAGTGCTTCCCACTGCTGCCTTGGATCACATTATCATTCCAGTGAGTGTCCCTGATTACTAAATCATAAAAAAACATGGACAATTGTCCTCCTATTTTCCAATTATTTGTAATAAACATTTCTCATATCAACCATCAGCCATTTCTTCCCCAAACTGGAGGCCTTTACTCTGTTTAGTTTCTTTTCATGAGGAAACCTCTTCCCTTTTTCTCTGCCTTTACGACTTCTGTTGTGGCATGGAATAGAATCGGAGAACCACAGAACAGTTTGTGTTGGAAGGGACCTTACATGGCCAGGAATGACCTAAATAGGGTGCCCAGAATATTCCAACAATAAGCATGGACCTGTGCCGTGCCCAGTGATTCCTGTCTTAATTTGCTTTCCTGACTAAACCTGGTGTATCACTTCTGTCTTTAAAATTTAATATTTATAATAATGTCTGTTATTGAATATTTTCCTCCAGCTGGGTCCCCCACTCCCTGCCTTGCTTACCTCTGCACAGTGAGGGAAACCCTCACTCCTAAACCCACGTTGTGAACCCGCTCTGTCCCCCCACGATCACTCAGCGCATTTGTTTTCTCCGCTGTGGTTTTGGACTTGTGGAATAACCCTGCTTCTCTCTGCTCCTTCCCACATGATTCCCAGGATGACAGCACTAGCCATAGTGACCACCAAGACCCCATTTCCTTAGCCGTGGAGATGGCAGCAGTCAACCACACCATCCTGGCGCTGGCCCGGCAAGGAGCCAACGAGATCAAGACAGAGGCTCTGGACGACGACTGATGCCAAGAAAGGGGAGGGTCAAAGCAAGAAGTAACTTAGTTTTAGACGTAGCACCTTAGCAGACTTTCCTCGGTCCTTAATATGTGTTCTTACAGTATAACTTTGCAGTTTCTTGTACGTCAGTTAGCTGTTAGGGTCTTGTTCTGTGAAGATGGCATGGTGCCCTCAGCCTTTGCATATACTCTCTCAGTATTAATTCCCAGTAAATAATCAATCAACCAACCAACCTCCCTCTCCCGGCCCCCAGTGGCTAGAAAGGTAAAATCAAAAAACAAAAAAACAAAAAAACAAAATAATCAAAAAAAAGAAAAAAAAAAAGAAAAAGAAATATATCTTGCTGCTCTGTCTTAGCATTCAAAGTGCTTCCAGGTATTTTAGACAGCCCTCAATTACAAGTCTTAGGCTACACTTAAAATCTTGGATAACCTTAGAGATGGTGTTGAAACCGATAGTCCGTACGCTTACCCTGCCCTGAGACTGGAAGGATGCAAGCTGAGGTAGTGGCACAGGGTGGATGGACACCAGACCGGGAGTATCAACAGAGAGTAAAAAGAACACTTAGAAACCCCACTCCAGCATGGGAATAAATGATTTCCAGCTGCAATAAGCCGTGCCTCACTGGTCATACAGTGACTCCGTTTACTTCCGGGTGCTGTGCTGAGAATGTCCATTGGAAACACATTCCCACATTTCGGTTGATGCTCACATATTCAACACAGACATCCTCTACTCTCACAAGCTGCCTGGCTTAGTGGAGAAGTGCTGCCTTCTGCCTCTGGGACCATGGTTGAAGCCCAGCCTGGGATCAAATGAAAAATGAGCTGAATGTCTAATGGACAACAGTCCACTTCTCAGAACCACTGCGCGTTCTTGGCATGGCTGGCAGTGCCTGCTCAGAAGAGGTCTAGACTCTTACCCATCTGTCATTAACAATTTCACCTTTAATTCCTCCTCTCTCACCTTTTCTGTCCCCACCCTACTCCCCTCTCCACTTTGCCACTTTCGAAAGCAATGTTTTCCAGGAAGGTTGTTAAGGTCCTGAAATGGGTGAGTGGATTTTCACACGCCTGTGTAAGTAATGCCTACGTCCCGACTAGCCTGAAAGGTTACTGGAGAATTCGACATCTGACCTTTGCTAGATAACCATCAGAGCATAAATATTCTCCTAAATACGAACTTTTTTTTGTTGGTTTTGAGGCAGGAGGATCTCTTACCTGAGAAATGGGGTGTGAATGTTTTGTGTTCTCTTTACTCTGTCTTTGTTAAGGTGTGAGAAAGCTATACTGCTACGAGCAATTTAATTAATAATTGGAAGCCATACTGATAATGGATGTGGTAATATTTGTAAAGCAAACCTACTCTAAGTAGCAGGAACTAATGGAATTGTTTTCCTTGATCATATGTAGCACTTTTGTTACTTTTTTCTTAAAGATATTTATATTTGATAAGTCTTTTTTTTATCATTTGAGAATTCCAAATACCAAACAGCAAACTTGCATTACAGAGTCACCCTGCGATCACCTTGTCATCTAGTATCTAAATGATGAACTGTGTGTGCATCTAAGAAAATTACATCTGCTAGCATTGTGTGGAAATGATCTCCTGGCATCCTGATAAAATGATATGTTGCTGCCGGTAAGAGGAAACATTTTGATGGAAACAGCACGAGAAGCGTTAGAGACGGGCAGGGCTGTGTTACATTAACAGAGAACAAATTAAAAACCTACGGAAATTTTTGTGTAGAGGCACATATATAAAAGTTTGCATAGCGTTTCCTCCACATTCCACTTTATCTTCCCAGTTGGTGTGGGAATAGCTTAAAGAGGGGAAAACAGCTCAGTCTGAAGGATGGGTTTCCCTTTGCTCCCCTCCACTTCCGAGGTGGAGCGAAGGGAAGTTCCCGTTACTCGCCTTGTTCTTGTCCCTTCCTCCCTCTTAACTCTCAGTGACCCCTCCAGAGCGGCTCCTCAGCAGGTTTTGAGCCAGGCTGAGCCCTCCAGATCAGCTTCCCCCGTGTCCATGTGGAGCAAGCTGCTCCCCCAAGTGCCGAGGAGATGCTGTGCTCAGAGGGCACTGCCCTGCCACCTCTTTGTCCCTTGGAAGATCTATAGGTAGGGCTTGGCCTTGACTTCCACTTATGGATTTCATTGGAAAATTTATGTGCTTTCCTTAGGTGTAGATCACTGGAGCAGAATGAAGCCGTCTTTTTTTTTCTGTTTTATTGCATTTCTTGAGTAGGCAAATTCATGAGTAGTGTCAGGGTGGACTCAGGAAAGGCAGGACTTGGATCAGTGACCATTGCACCACTGCAGTTATTTTCTTACTGCCTGTATGAATGTTTTGGTACTAAGGAGTGAAAGGATGGGGAGAGCTTTTATTTCTATTTTTGCACAGCAGAATGATCGAGCAAACTCGAGCCTTAGTGGAATTTTACCTACTTATTCATTCCACAGTCACACACTGAGCTGACAAGCAACATCCACGATTTATAGTAAGGAGATTTTAATAATCGATGACCTCTTTACGTTGGGCTTGCCACCACCATTTGTTCTGGCTGTTTCATTTTAAAAAGAACAGACTCAAACTGTTGGACAGCTGCAATTTTAAAAGACATATTGCTTATTGCTTACCATAGTATCTGTAAAAAAAAAAAAAGGCATTGTTTGAGGCTTTGCCTTTTAAGAGCAATAAGGAAGAATAAAAATAGTATTAGAACTTATATATCCTGATTATAGGTTCATGTGATGCAGGATCAAAGTAACACCGCTGAAATTGTGTGTCTGTACCATCTAATGTGGAATAATCTGGTCTTAATTCTGTTTGTCACTGTCAGGAAGCTGCTGACATCCCACACCAGTATCTTCTCTGAAGGTTAAACAGGTAAAAAAACCCTTGTGAGCAGATCTTCCTGGGCTGTACATGCCAGTTCTCTACCTTCCCACATCATCATCTTACCAGAGAAAAGATCAAATATCTGGGGAATCAGCCCCTTGGTTCTGTGGGGTCGATGTTTGGGGTGTGTCTGCTCTGGCTTCTCTTTGGGCATTGGGAGGTACAAGTGGCACCTCAGAGGGATGAGTGGGACCTCAGCTGTCCCCAGGGTGCTCCTGGCAGGTTGTTCCCTTCATTCTGGAAATTCACAAGGAGCCATTTGCAGCTGGTCAATCCCTTTTTGGTTTGAGGTGAATTATCTGGAATGGGACAGGTGCTGATGTGATGGTTCCGAGATGAACGAATGTGATCTGGAGTAAGTAAAAGAATCGGTGGAGGGCGTGTCCTGGAATTCAGGAATCCTGGAATTCTTTCTTTTGGGGGTTTTTCCACGATCTGGGAGTCGTCTTTGTCTTTCTGTCTGTGGTTTTCCTTGGACATGAAGCCTCGTTTTGGTAGCACTGCAGTGGAGTGGCAGTTTGTTGTAGCCAGGCTGGAGTCACTGCAGTTTGTTCTCCTTGAAGTGGCTCTGGTGTCAGATCCGAGCTTCCTTTTTGTTCTGTGACCAGAGAAGAAGTTAATTTAAGAAGCTCCTCATCTGTGATGGTCACAGATTGCTTTTACCTTCGTAGAGTGAGTTCTGGCTGATACTTTGTCCCTCATAAAGTCCTTTTACTTGAGTTGTTGTCTCTGACCGTCTTGTTAAAACAACGATTTCTACCTCCACTTCTTTTCTGGATTGTTTTAGTGTAGGGTTTTTTTTTTTAGTTCCCCCACCCTTTTTCCTGAAGTATGAGATCCTAAACATTTGCAAAAGCCTTATGAGTTGATAAAAATCAGCAGATTTGTTACCTGTTGATCTTGTGAATACTCTGTAGACACACGTGTGGAATCCTGTGCTGGATGTGAGTCTGCAGTGCACCCTTGCAGCAATTAAGGAATCTCATTAAGAGCCTTCAGGAGGTCATGGAAAGGGTTTAGACCCCTCTGTCTATCTTTTGTGGGACCATTGTGTGGGCAAGAAGGGGGGAGATGGAAGCACATGTCACATAGTGGGAGATTGCAGGAGCTGGGATTGTCCAGGCTGGGTCACGGTACATCCCAGATTTTGGGTGTTAACTGTCTTAATAAATTAATTTTAACCTGGGGGTCCAGTGCAGGGTCAGGAGTTGGAATTTGATGATCCTTGTGGGTCCCTTCCAACTCAGGATATTCTGTGATTCCAGAGAAGACAGAACCAGGCTCTTCTCAGAGGTGCCCAGCAAAAAGCTGAGGGGGCAGAGGGCTGAAGTTGCATTAAGGAGAATCCCAGATGAATATAAATAGAAGTATTTTCATGCTCAGTAGTAGGAATGGCCCAGAAAGTCAGTGAAATTCCCATCCTTGGGGATACACAAAATTCAACTGGACAGGGTTGGATTAGAGACCTCCAGAGGTCTCTTCTGACCTAAATTATCTCTGATTCTTTGCAGACCTGCTCAGGTTGAGGAGTTCCTTAGTTCTGATTTGTACATTTTGACTTCTTCAAAGAAATTCTGTTAATTTGTTGAGGGTTTTTTTCTGTTTTGCTGTTCATAAAAATTATCTTTTCTAGTTTACTAACAGAGAGGAGCTTTATTTGCAGGGTCTGGCTCCAGGCTCCAATCAAGCCATAAGTTAGAGATTTCATTAATTATTTGCTCTGTTTACACAGTTCTTCAGGGATATTTGACTTACTCTGTTTGTTTCATTGCCTAACATCAGACTGGTAAGTTTTTCATGTTTTTGTAACATTTGTGATTTGTAGATCAGTTTTTGCCTTCATTTGTGAAGATTTATCTTTGTCTTGCTGCTGTGAGTGCAAGTGAGAAACTCCACATAGCTGAACCTATTTCAGGAAAAACTCTAGCCCACTGTGGTAAGCCAGAAATTTTGGGTCAGGAAATCACAAATTGGTGATTGTTAGGAGCTGAAAGGGTTTGATTGGGAAAAAGTCAGATTGTGCTCAGTTGGATCCCCCTTATGCTGTTGGCCACTTCTAGGAAAAGCAATGTGGTAGTTGAAATAGGTTTTATTTTTCATACAGACCAACCCGCTAAAATTGGTGTAAGAATTTTCCAAACTCAAAATTGCAACCTTGATGCAGGATGTTGGGTTCCCTGTGTGTGATCCTAACTGGAATCCAAAGCTGGAGTCACACTTGGCAAATCACTAAATTCAGTGTGAGACTGCCCATAATCCTGAGCTGTGTGTGTTCAGCTGGGGATGGTTTCCAACCCCTCCACTGCTTTATCCCCTACTCATTTTAACTAATATTTGTATTAATGTTCCTCCTTCTCCCACTCCAGCTCCATCATGGTGCAGCCCCCACTTCCCAGTGCTCATCAGCTTCTTTCAAACTCATTGAGTAATTACCAGCAAATTTTAGAGGGTTTTGTCAAAATTTTGCTCTTATTTTATCTGAGTTTTCCCACTCGATTAGCTCTTGCACTCTTTGAAGTTATTTAACTTGATAATATTATTTTGATCAAAGTCTTAAGCTTACAGGCAATAATCTTTGGTTTGGTGCAGCTTTTGGCATTTGGCAAGAACCTTTGTTGGCAGGATTGGTTTTAAAATTGTGTTACATGTCAGTGACCTTAATATATGCTCCTTGCATGGATTTTGTGTGTTCTTAGCAGAAGTCAGGGGTTGGATCCTGATCCCAGCTACTTTAATGGAGTTTTATGGAGTTTTCACTGTGATGATTCCTTGGAAGGGAAGGTTGATGGCCTGACCAAAAAAATACCTTGCAGTTCCCAAGAAGAGTTGCAGAGACATTTCAACCTAAAACATTCCCCCCTGGGCTTTTGAGCAGCTGGGATATTTACTCAGGATATTGGAACAATTATTGGCCAAAAGGGATTTGGTACAGCCCTAAAACCCTCATTTCAGCCTCTCTTTCTCCTGTCAAATTTATGGGGTTTAAACTGTCTGACTAAAGATGTTGCACATTCATGAAAACCAGAGGCATTCTAGAGATGGCAGCTACAAATCCAAATTTAAAATACACTGAAATTATCTTTTTTTCCTTTATGAGAAATGTGTTACAACTAAAAGAGCGTGGTTGAGTGTTTTGAGGACTGTCAGTAGGGTGACAGGGATTTGATGTTGGTTTTTGTCCAACAAATGTAAATCAAATCAAATCAATGGAAGTTTATCTCAGTGGCAGCAGTGAGGCAGAGGAAGAAAAATTTAAACTCTTTTACCGAAGAGTTTGTTGCCATCCTTGGTCTTAGGTTATATCACTTAAAAATAGCCTGGAATTCTGGAATTCCAGGAGGAATCAGAGGATCGTGGAATGGGTTGAGTGGGAAGGGATTTTAAAGAGCATCCAGTCCCTCCCCTGCCATGGGCAGGGAATCCTTCCACCACCCCAGGTTCCTCCAGGCCCCAGTGCCCATCCTGGCCTTTGGACACTTCCAGGGATGGAACTTCCATGGAGCTAGAAAATAATTTGCCATTTGAAACCCAGGGGAAAATTCACACAAAGCATTTTAAATGCCCCTTTTAATCAGGCTGATGCAGCAGAAGAACCGATGGGCTTGATGGCTGCAGTCTGGAGCTCTTTCCCTTTCTTTCAGGGAGGTCTGGAGCGCTCCAGCCAGGAGCTGGAGCAGGAATGAACCGAAGCCATTGAGCTGGAGGGGCTGGTGATGGGCCTTTGATGTTTCTGTATGTGCAGAGCATCTCTCCCTCAGCTGCCTTGGCAGAAACCTCCCTGTGCCATTTATTCCCTCTCTGCTCAATGGCAGCGGGAGTGTTCTGCTGATCAAAACACCCAGCACACTTG